TTTTCTTTCATTAAGTACTTGCTTGTGTTTGCTGCAAGCTGGTGCTGGCTTGGAGAGTGGCTCTGCTGCAGTGGCCGTGTTTCAGTGTGTTCTTTCTTCTGTTCGTTCGTTCTTCCTTTTTGGAATTTACTTGGTTTCTTTTCTTTGACTAGCATAGCATATCGTCGTGTCATTCGTGTCTATCAGTATGAAGTTGGGGATGATCTATCTGGAAGGTTTTTTCCTCTTATTTTTCTTACCTCACTTTGGTTTTCAAATGCACTTTTTAATTCCAAGGCTCGCTTTCCTTCCAACTAACTTTCACGGCTTAGAGATGCTTGGAGGTTTGTTTCCCTGTTGACTCTTTCCATGGTTGGTTCCCAGCTTCCTGCTCAGGGTTCTGGGTGTGCGCTTCATCTTTTCAGGCGTGCATCGAATCTGAGCCTTAACCCTGTGGTGAGAAACACCCAGATGGTTGGTGCATTTTCATTGCTACAGGGTGATTCAGCGCTTGCAATCCCCTTCTCAAGAAGCTCAAAAGCACATAGGAGGATCGATTTCAGTGGGGATGAAATGATAGATTTCAGTAGGGTTTAGTGACTTAATACCAGCGACTTTTAAGTTTCAGGAACTTAAATACCACAGTCAAAGGAGAGGACAGCCCACCTGCACACACCCAGACTTGCTGTCCATGCACAGGTCATTCAGGATGAACTCTCACCATCCATGTTGGAAGGACAGAGGTTCTTAAACACTGCTGCTCAAAGGTTGCTTAGGATCTTGAGGGGAAAAAAGCAGCATCAGGAGACTTTCCCTAACTAGTCCCTACAAAGTAGATCTTGGAGACCATTGCCCCAGTGGTGGTCTTTCTATGCTGGTGTGGGGGCTGCAGTCTGTGTAGAAGCTCAGTGTGGAGATCAGACCGAGGGGAGTGGCCGTGCCTCAGTTTCTCTGGGTGCAACATGGGAGAGGTGGGGTGGGAAAAGCAACTGTCCACCACCCCCTGCTGTGAAGCAAAGGGCTATGGTTTTCTGCAGTGATTATGCCATGCTAAGATTACTTTTAAACAAAACCAGTAGTTTTCAACATCTTTTTTCCCCCATTTTATCCCCACGTAACACACCTCTGTAGAGCTCCTGTACCTTTACTGGCAAATACAGCCCATCTGCAGTGAATCACCTGTAGTTCATGTGTGTGCGTGTGTGTGCTGGGCACGGTGGAGTGGGGTGGGACTGCACTAAGTTTCTAATTTCGTTAGGTCCAGTAAAGCGGGTGCTTTGGATCTGGCATGAAGTGTGGCTGCTGATTGTGTTGCCTTTCAAATGGGGCTAGAAATTAACTACAGAAGGAGATAAGAATCAAACAAGATGTACACGTGTCAGTCTGAAATAGGATGAGTCAGAATAAAACACAAAACCAGTGTTTAAATATCTACAGGAGAATAATACTGCCGTAAGGATTTTTAATTTCAAGGAAGGACTGTTAATTTCAAGCCCCACCTGCCATTTTTCATGGGATAAGTGCATTCTCTCACTGTAATTCTGTGTTTAGGTCATGTATGGTGGAGGAATCGGGAACGCTGGAATCGCAGTTGGAAGCTACTAAAGTAAGCAGTGCTCACCTATTGCTAAAATACCTTTCGCAACTGATGACTTAGGAACACAGGGTGGGAATGGAAATGCATGTAATCATATGATAAAATCTTAATTGATTTCACACATTTTGAGTATTGAAGAGACCTTTGGGATTATCTATTTACATATCTGATGTCTACTTATATGACAAGCCATTAAACAACACTCCAATGTAGTTTTCCTTTTTGTTCTTCTTTTCTAAACGAGTGCGGTAGGGCAGAGAGGATGCAGTATTTTCAGCGTGTTTCCTAGTAAGTCGGGGGTTTTGTCTCAAGAACTGGTTCGCAAGCCCTGTTGACTTCCAGCAGTGTGCATGAAGGGGAACATTGTTTTGAACACTATTTTACAAATCTCAGCAGAAAAAGAAGAGTATAACCCTTCCTCCCCTGCCAGCCTGTGTTCTAACGTCTTAAGGTGGTTTTTTTGTGCTCCTTTATTTTCTCCTCTTTGCTCCCTCCTAACAGCGCAAGCACCAGGAGATCCGAGCTATGAGGAGCCAGCTGAAGAAGATTGAGGACCTTGGAGCAGCCATGGAAGAGGCCCTTATCTTGGACAACAAATACACAGAACACAGCACCGTGGGGCTGGCACAGCAGTGGGACCAGCTTGACCAGCTGGGGATGAGAATGCAGCACAACCTGGAACAGCAGATTCAAGCTCGGTATGGCCTGGCTCACGTGCGGTGTAAAGCATGTCTCACTTTGGGGGTATAAAAGATAGGAGACACCTCTGCCCGTGTCTAAAAACAAACCTTGCACGGTCCGTGCTAATGAGTCTCCTGTGCTCTAACGGATGTCATGAGCTTGTAAATCCCCACCACCTCCTGGCTCTCTTCAGAGGGGTGAAGTCAGCAGTTTTGGAAATAGTTCGTATTGGCCATTAGCAGTGATGAGATCTTAGGGGAACTGATTTATTCTGTTGAACTGTCATGATGTAACAGATTGTTTGCTCATTTGTCCTCGTCTTCTGATGCAGACCCTGGCTGGCAGCAGGTGGACTCCAGCAGAGTTCTGCAGTTTAGGGACTGTTCACCAGCTTTGCTTTTTCCTTTTCAGAAACACGACTGGAGTCACTGAGGAGGCCCTGAAGGAGTTCAGCATGATGTTCAAGTGAGTCGCAGGGAAAGTGTGCCAGAGGAATGCTTGTGAGAGATTTCTGGCACGTGGATGGCTCCTGTTCACAGGATTCTCTGCCCGATTTGTTTGTAGCTCCTTTGTTGTCTGCCCAGTTTTGTGCTGAGCTGCTCTGATCTCTGCCAGATGGCAGGAGCCTCCAGAGACACCCGCTGCTGGCTGGGTGCAGCCACAGCCCCGAGCCTCTCCTGGGCACGCTCGCTTGTGGGCACAGCGGTGTAGGAGCCAGGAGTGCCAATGAATTCCAGCCGGGAATATAGCCATTTTTTGAATGCTTTTTAAGCGAAGTGAAGAATTTGTGCTTACTTTTTATGTATGTTAGATAGAACTACTTACCGATTCAAGTTCATTTGTCCAGAATAGTGGACTAGTTATAATCTGTTCTAGTTTTCAGCCCACTTTATAGCTTTCAGTGCTCAACAACTGACACTTAAAAATGTGGGCTTTGTTTTTTTTGTTTTTAGGCACTTTGACAAGGACAAATCCGGACGACTTAATCACCAGGAGTTTAAGTCTTGCTTGCGCTCTCTCGGCTACGACCTGCCTATGGTTGAGGAAGGAGAACCAGACCCGGAGTTTGAGTCTATTCTTGACACTGTGGATCCCAATAGGTACGTGGGTTGGACCTCTTTATATTGCAAATATGGTATGGGTATCCTTCGGGGAGTTGGCTGGCAGGGCTCTCACAGGCTGAGCGCCGTGCTTACTTCTGTTGTGGAAAGGCTATGGTTGTTTTCACAATTCACGTAAAAGAGTCTTTATGAAGGCAAGACGCGCATTCATGAAGAAGAAATTCACTTTAGAAAATGATGTGGTATTGACAGTCTCCTGCGTTAAGAATTTCACTCCTCCCAGGAAAGTTAAACGGACGGCAGTGTTCACACGCTGTGTTTCACCGGCAGGGATGGACACGTCTCGCTGCAGGAGTATATGGCATTCATGATCAGCAGGGAAACGGAGAATGTGAAATCCAGCGAGGAGATCGAGAGCGCTTTCCGCGCCCTCAGCTCGGAGGGAAAGCCCTACGTGACCAAGGAGGAGCTCTATCAAGTAAGTACCGGTTGTGGCCCACCAGGGAGGAACAGACGGAGACTTTGTGTTTATAGACGTTAACAAAGACCAGCACTAGTTGTTTGGAGGGTCGTATCACTGTGGTTGAGTCGGTTCTGAACCTGGCAGGGTATCCTCTGCAGCAAACACAGAAATTACCTACCCAGCTGCTTTCTTGGCTCTATAGAGGAAGAGGAAAATCTTTAACTGCCAAAAAACTACGCAGGTTGAGTAAAGCAAGAGCTATGCAAAGGCCTGGGAAGGGTGTGCATTCACTGTAGCTGTCCTCAGAAACTCATGCTTCCCTCTCATCGTTTGGGAGACTAGAGGGAGATGTTTCTCCAGACAGCGATTCGAAGGAGAAACTTAAGCCCAAGCTCAGACAGTGTGAACATCGCGGCCCTGCCAAGACAGCAAGTTTTTCCTGTCTGAATCCCACCAGCTGGCAGAGAAATAAAGCGGTTGCACTGCTTCCTCGTACCAGTTACCTGTTCTGTCTTCTCCTCAGTGGGAAGACGACTCAGGTCAGACCTTCCAACCCTTAACCAAATAGTGCCAACAGCCAGAGCATTTCCATGCTGGGCGTAGTTCTGCTGCTCTGGCTTCTGTCCCGAGCTGTGTGCCCCCAGGAATGGGAGGGCTGCTTGTAAATGCCCCATCCGCAGCCCCAAAGTGCCCGTCTCCACCTCCGCGCTCTCTTTGTCTTTCAGAACCTGACCCGGGAACAAGCCGATTACTGCATTTCTCACATGAAGCCCTACATGGATGGCAAGGGCAGAGAACTTCCTGCTGCCTACGACTACATAGAATTTACACGTTCACTCTTTGTGAATTGATCTAAAACACTAGTTCCAAAAGATGCAACGAACATGCTCACGTTTGCTGATTATAGCTCTGCATGTGTCTCTCTCTCTCTCTTTGTGCTCTACAATAATCAGTGTTACTTTATGATGTAACCTTGAACTGCTTAGCTTAAAACTCTTAGGGAAAACAAACATTGCAGTGTGCTTCAATAAAAGTTACTGGTCGAACCACATCATCTTGTGTTTAATGGTTAAATGCAAATTTAACTGTTAGGTGGCTGAAACTCCAGCTGTCACAGTTACATGCGTCTTACAGGCCAAGGCGGTGCAAGAGGTGAGTGGGCAACTTTTCCTGGAGCCAGAGTAGTAACAAGCTTCATGCACCTGGTTGTGTTGGTGCCTCAGTCCGTGATCTCACTTGCCAGCTGCTCCAGATGATTCATTTCCCTGGGTCCCTGCTCAGTGAAGTCAGAACTCAGCTGCCAGACTTTGACTGTACCGGTAGCATCCCCTGCTGCCAAGAGCTGAGTTTGCTTAATGTTAAATTCTAAGCAGTACACAGGGCGTTCACCCGAGGCCTGCTTTATGGAAACGGTGGGCTTCCGCGAGCTCTTCTCAAAGTCAAAGAGGTGCACGTCTCCTATAAAACAGAAACATTTATTGCAGCTTTATGGCAACGGACTTTGTATTTAACAGCAGATGAGTATCTACTTGGTCTGGAACTTAGAGTTGTTCTTTTTAACCTGTTCCCCCTTCCCTCGGGTGTCTGGGCTGTGACAGATAGCTGACATCACCGTGAGACAGCATGGATTTGTTCTGCTGTCGGAGACCTGAAACCAGCTTGCCAAATTCTGTGAAATCTCCATTCCTTAACTCAAAAATGCTTGGGCAGTTTTCTATGGAAAAAGTTGTTGTTTGAAACCACTAGCTCTAGAAGTAAATGTCAAAAACAAGGAAGCTGGAAGTAAGTTTTAGCTGCAGTAACCTTGCTGTGTTATATCCCTGCGAGCGGCTGTGGCAACAGAAGTGAAGGTATCATCAAAAGTGAAAAATAACTGTGACTGAAGTCGTCTTGCCTAGAGTTAGAAATGACTCCGTTACACACGGTACAAACAACGGTCACTGCTCTCTGCTTGTGGGAAGTGCTCATCAGTACAATTGACTTGTACTAATTAATACTCAGCACAGTCGTAGTTTTATGTCCAAGAACAGGCACTGCAGTTACTTGCCTTCCCCCGATGCAGCTGCGAAAACCAGCGGTCGAACTGGAGACCAGCGTACACAGAAGAGGTATTTCTTTGATAACTGAAGAGAAATGAGGGGTTGCGTCTGCAACATGGAGTGCAAGTGAACTTGTCCATCAGTCCCACAGCTCAGAAAGAGGTTCCTGGGGGAGGAAGGAAGAAAAAAAGAACTTTCTTGGCTTTATTGATGAAGATATGGAACAAAAATCAGTCAAGGGAGCCTGACCCTGGGCAGTATTCCTGCTTTGCAAAGGTCTGAACGTGTTTCCCAAAGCAGCGATTTCCAAGCTGTACCCTGGGACATGGTCTGTAGAGACTCAGCTTTGTTACTGCTCTCAGTTAAGTTTAATGAGGGCTTGTGTTGTCCGCTGAGGATTGCTGGTGGGTTGTGGGCCAGGGATGCCTGAGAACTGCTGATCTAGAGCCCGGCATTGTGAGAGCTGTGTTCGTCTCATGCAAATTAAATGCAAACCTGGGCTGTCAGCACGTTTCATAGAAAGGTGGCTTGGGGCCTCTTCCGCGCGTGGTGGGTAAACTGCAGGCAGAGATGCGAGTTTCTAATTTAAATTGAGGCAGCTGCCTGTAAGGTTTCTGATGGGCAGATCATTTAAGCAGTGATACATAAATGACTTTTTCAGCTTTTTTGGCCCTTATCTTTAAATTGATCTTTAATATTAACGTCTAGGGTGATCTGAGGAAGGTGCTAAAGCTCCATGCTGGCCGGAGCGCAGATGCTATTTTGCGTTACTCATGTTGTGCCCACATGCAGCATATTTGAGTGGGCAGCTTCACCAGAGCCAATGGACATTGTTTCTCCTACGACGGGAAGCTACTTGATCAAATTCCCAATGCCAGGTGACCCTTTTTTGGAACTTGTACATGCACACCCCCAGGGGCTATTTGAAAAAGGCATTTTTAGAGCCAGGCAATGATTGCGTCCAACGTGCAGCACTGGCGTCAATTCACAGCACTTGCCTGTGGAAGGGCGAGCAGCTGACGGAGTACACCGGCCCACCGTGAGGGGAGAAGGCGAGCTCCACTGGTGCCCTGAGGGGAACAGAACTGCCTGTCCGATGGAGAGCCAGCGTCTCTGCTGCAGTGGAGCACTTCAGGGAATAGCCACCTTCCACACCGACGATGAACACGCGGGGATCGAAGTGTGAAAATGAGAGCGAGGTCACACCCACGGCTGCCTCCCCCCAGGCGAACTGGGAGAAAGAGACAAAGCTGTTGTGAGAGCTGGGGGCTCCAGTGAAACGCAGGTGCAGTTAGAACAGCGTGAACCAGCCTGCCAGGGACCCAACAAGCTGTTCACTGCACAGCTGGCACCAGCTACGATGTCACAGCACTGCTCAGCCTTGAACCTCTGCAGCGTCCTCCTACCAGGGGATTCATGTGAAGTAATGTTGTTGTAAGCAAGTTCTCTTCTCCATCCCAGCTGCTGCTCTTTAGAGCACAGCAAAACCTCAGCTGTTGCCAGTCTTCCAAGGATGGGAACGGAGATGGGGACCACAAGGGCTAGCGCGTTATGGTCAGAAGGGGCTTTTCCTGGCCCTTTGCACGTGAAGGGTGAGCTCTGCCACATGCGCTCCAGAGTTTAGCGTGTTTTTGTCAAATCAGCCCTCTTTGAACTACTGAACTCACCTTCTTCAGCCAAGTGCTGCGAGGGATCTGCTGAGCCACCACGGCGAATCCTTCGGCCAAGGCCAGCCGACCGTCTCGCTCCTCCCTCCACACCAGGATCCTCCCGTCCGTCGATACGCTCAACAGCCGTGAGCGGTTGCTGTGCTCGGCATCAGGTAACCAGTTAACCTGTTCCAAATGCCCATGAGCTTGTGACAAGGGGGACTGTCACAACCGCCGAGCCCACGCTCGGCAGCCTGCAGTCCCCTGACCCGCCAAGACGACACAGGAGCAGAGCCACGCGGCAGCCAGGGATCTCGGTACCAAACCAGCTCCTGCTGGGAGCTGGCACGCAGGCGGAGATGCTAGGAGAGAAACACGTTTAGGTGTTCAGGGCTGAATTCTGTATTGCAGTTCTATGGTTCACCTGCCATCGCTTTTGAGACGTGCAGTGTTTATAGCACTTTTCACCCATCTATGAACAGCAGCGTTTTCCCAACTTTCAGATGAGAAAATACACAGATTGCCCAGAGTCCCAGGACCCCAGAAGGACAAAAAATATTAGAAAGCCAGACTGTATGATATGCTTAAAGCGTGTAGCTTTAAGCTTCCAACTAAGGATCAGTGATGCTTTGCTACTTAGATTTTTAAACCACTACACGTATTGTTAGCTGCACCTACATCAGTAGACAGTTACAGCATAGGAATGGGCCTGCTCTTCATTCACCCTGAACAGCAAGAAGTTATTTTTTACAGGGTGAGCGTTGAGTTCAGCAAATGCCTGTTGAGTAGCTAGATTTGGGGAAAAACAGCCAACCATAAGAGAACATAACTGCTGAAATGTAGCAGCCTGTCTGTGGATAGGAACTGAAGGGTTGAAATAGAGCAATAGCAATGCTCGCCTCCCCCAGCGGTGTCTGCTGTAGATGTTCTCTGTTACCTGATAGACTGGATCAGTGTGAGTGTCATCTGTCATCCCCGTCCTCCAGATCACAGCGTCTTCTGTTCTGCTGGTATCCCACACCACCAGCTCCCCGCTGAAAAGGCCACCTGTAAGGACAAAGAGAAAACGTCGAAGGTCTAATAGCTCAGAACAAATGCACAAATGAAGCTATGGTGGAAGTGGGCCCACCAGCTTCAAAGGACTGGCAGCTATCTACAGGGCACAGTCAGCTCTGGTGTAAGAGAATATAGCTCTACCGAAATAAGTATGCTCTCCCCACTTACACCCAGGGCTGAATTTCCTTCTATCATCTCTCTCTGATGAGATGATATAAAGGCAGATGTCACTGAAAAAGCAGCAAGTCCCAGTTCAGAAGCAACAGTGCGCTTATCAATGTCGGTGAGCATTAGTTCCTCAGCTTGAGGAGCTGCAACACCATTACTTCTGCAAGAAATCTTAGGCTGAGCTCAGGGAGAGAAAGAAAAATGATCCAAGCTGAAGGAAATAAATGCACGCTTCAGATAGGATCTGAGGTGAGAGCAACCTACCAGCTATCAGTGAAGGCTGGGAGGGGTGGAAAGCCAGGGACATGACAGAACTGGGAACCTCCACCACGAGGTCAGGGCGCTGTGGATTCAACCCTCTTCTGTCCAGATTCCAGGTACAAACGTAGGATTTTTCTGTGCTCCAGTCCCCACCGTCCAACCTGAAGAAGAGAAAACTATGTCTTGCCTTGTCTGTTCTGCAGAGAATCCCAGTCTCGCACAGCTCTGGTATGACCCGTTGGTCATTTAAACATGCTGCTTTGTGGCTTGAAGGAAAAATGAGGTGAAGGGATCATGAGGTGATGAAACTTCTCTGTGGGCTAATATATACACAGTACGTGTCAGTGTACTTACAGAACAAAGTGCCAGCAAGTAAATCTCAGATACGATTCACTATTTGAAGACCTACCAACCATTCAAATAATGGGAACAATCTAAACGGTGCATACAGAAACTTACTATAAGTATCTGGGAATTTAAAGAGACCAAACTGCTGCTGATTTGCAAACTGGCTGAGTTGCAAACCACGCTTCCTCTAAACAAGTTCTCAAAGATCCAGGGTCTGGGCATGCACAGTGAGGAAATACCTTACCTGGAGGACCGACAGGAGCTGAAAAGACTTACTGAGTCTTGCTTGGCCTAAGATAAGCAGCATGATTTGAAGCCCAGGTGCCTCTGCAGGAACAGAGGACATTCTTCACAGCCACCAACTGGTGTTGATGACCCTGCACAAATCATGCCAGGCACCCCAGCTCCAGTGATTTCAGTCCAGTCCTATGCCCGTCAGACTTGTTTGCCACAAGTGGACCATGAATTATTACTCTGGGATGCTAACAGACACCTGCCACTCTACCTCCTTTGTTATTTCTACCTGCTTCATTCAGCACACGCTTACCAAAATATTACATGTATTGCGTCGCTAGCACCGCACTGACCAACGTGCTGTCCCATCTTGCTACAAAGAGATGATACGGAGGACACAGATCTACAGAAGAGTCAGTGGTCAGGGCAAGAAGCAATGATTTTGATACCTACTTCTTTTGCCTTTATTTGATGCTATTAATTCTTTTATTGGAAGAGATACAATCAAATAAAAGGAGCAAATTTTAATCCAATGGGCAGTTGATCTGTGAAACTCCTTATTAAAGGATGTTGTAGCTGCTAGACGTTTACACAGCTTCACAGAGACTGTGTAAGTTCATAGACGGGAATTCTACTGAGGGTAACCACAGACATAGAAAATTCTAATCTGAAAACAGCTGTAGACTGGGAGAGCAGAAGGAGCAAGTAACATACAGGTTTGGCCTGTTTTACTCTTCCCTAAGCATTTGCTCATGGATACCCTTTTTGCTGGGGCTTTTAATCTAAGGAAATGGTAGTGGAATGAAAAAGGAGTAAGGGCAGCAGTAGGGCACAGAAAGGAGAGGCCGCTATAGACATTCATTGGCTTCGATGAATGTTTTGTCCAGCTCTCATTTCAGAAATCCTTAAATGCTTGTTAGCACATGTCCGTGGCATCAGACGCGCGCGTGAATGGATGCCAGGTTCATCCGGGGTGCTAAGAGACCACATTAAAACAACACGATCTTCAGTGAAGATAAGCACATACTTCCAAACCTCACCTACATATATTTGCAAGCGCATCTGCTCTTTACGGTTTCTTTCCTAACAGAATCTATCTAGAAACAAATCAGTAAGAGTACATGTATCCCTTTTCAGGGCAGAGGGGAAGGTAAAAGAAATAAAAGCTATAATTTAAGACCGCCCTGAGATTTTTGTTTCTTTGAGTATGAATTATTTAACTTGCATAAAGTGTATATATATGTCTAGTTTATTACTGCAGAGAAAGCAAACATATCCAAAACTCAGGTCAGCCTGAGCCATCACATCAACCTCAGTTGCGCTCTCAATCCATTGATACTCACCGGCCATACGAGCATGCAACAACAGATCCAGTTGCATTCCATGAGACGCTGGTAACCTGTAGGTTTTGATCCTGAGCCTCTGGGTATGACAACGTATGCAAACACAATACCTGGAAGAGATGAAATTCAAGCACTGAAGCAATCATCTCCGAACACAGAGAAATGAGATCCGTGCACGCCCCTGCACATGTTCATATGGTTACAGCGTTGGCTTCCCCTCTGTTCAAGTAGCACACAGATATATGTGAAAAAGTTGTTGAATTCCTACTGGGGAAAAAACTCACAACACGTGGCCCTACCAAACCAACTGTTGCCTCATAATTACCTCTCACAGACTGCGCACTTCAGGGGCTGCACAACTCTGCAAGGCTGTGCCATAAGGATTTACGACAGCCCTCCAGGTATGAGTCTAGCTCTCGCTAAGCTTCACAAGCAATGGTTTGAAAACAACGATACCAACATGTACTGACCGATACAAATTGCTTCCACTCTTGAGCACTGTACACTAAACAAATATAATCGAAGTAGGAAGAGCTGCCAAAGCACTGACTGCAACTGTTCCTAGGTACCTGCTAGCCTGGCGTGCTCTAAAGGGGCTACTGGGAGCTGAAGATAAGCCTACACCAACTGCAGGCTTCTTTCTCACAAAGCTGCTGCAACACAGTCACTAGCAGGAAGAACGGTTTTACCAAGCAAGGCCAGGCCACAAGCAAGGGAGAAAGCTGGAGAAAAAAACAACTGGTAATTTCTAATTATTAGAATCTGGCAAGAACAATCACAGCAGTAAGAAACAGAACTAAAGAGTTAGAGCCACTGCAACCAGCTCTGTTTGGGTAAGGACGAGGATCTGAATTCTGTCAACTTACTGTTTCATTCTGATCTGTCCAGTTCACCTCAAAGCCATCAAAGGCACGGCTTTTCCAGTTTTTGTTTAGCTCTTTGATAACAGCATCCTCCACTCTCTGAAGGAATGACAGAAGGCTAGTGTAATCTACTTGGACTTCTTGCTGGAAGTCTTGGACAGCATCTTTACTTTGATCCGTCTGCACACTGGCATCTTGGCTAGTATGAGATTGTGCTGCAGTTTCTACTGTTGAAATTTTCCCAGTCTGGCAGCTTTTCTAGTAAAAGAAGACAGACAGTCTATTATCCAAACAGAAGAAAAAAAAAAAAGAGTGTTGCACAAAACATTCAAAGCATCTCCCCCTTTTTGGCATTTCATAGAGACATTCAAGCGCACTTGCAGACCTCTGGTTCGCGGTTAAAGCAGGGTGCCTCCGTAACTGTCTGTGATGTATTTGTGACTCCCACACGATCTGAGAGGAGACAGAGACACCTGAACGCCAGTCAAATTCAGGCCATGTGCTCTACAGGATGGAATGGGGAGGATGAGAGAAAGCAAAAAGGCAGCAAGCCTCCAGAGGAAACGGCAAACACCGAACCCAAACACGGTGTTACCAGCTCCCAGACTACTGGCTTTGTGCCAGCCGCACGGTGTTTCTTTGCCAATTTGTATAAAGGGCCTAACTTAGTAAAACGCTGCAAAGGGGCAGCGCC